TATTTCCCTCCTATAAGTCTCTTTCATAATTCCCTCTCCTAATTCCCTCCGAATGGAAATATGAATCATCTTTAAACCGTTTTCATATTTCCCTAACAATCACGCTCCTCTCTATCCAGGTAAGTTATGCAGCATATATCGAACTTGCAGCGTAACGAAGGCAATAACAAGCTATAACGTATCAGTAAAAAATAACGGTTTTTTGATAACGCTTGGTTAACGTATTTGCAGAATATTTATTTAAATCACATCATATGAGGCGAACTAAAATATGTGACTTCTGTTCGCCCACGAAATTGTCATATCACTGACTTCTTCTGTCCCTCATTGCCAATACAATGTAGCAATGGTAATTGACTCATATATTTTTTTCATTCATTTGGACCATTTCTTTTCGTCCTTCCTCACCCACATTTATTCGCTTCCCCTCTACCGTCGGCCCTGTCCGTCTCATCAGACGCCTCGCCACACATTTTTTCATCACACAATTAATTCTGTTTCCTTCCTCGCCAATCTTGTGACCTTCGGGCTTCCTTGGCTTAATATTCCCTCCTTTTTCTCGTCAATTCTTCTTTACATTCCTCCGCTTTTCCCTTCCTCCAAGCCTCTACATCCGCTATACCCTCTCTTTTAACCGATCTTCTCTATCCCGTCATTCCTCGCCCTTCTCCCTCTCACTCACATTCTCTGACGCTCCTCTGTCTTACACTCCCTCTCACCTCCCTCTTTCCATCTCCCTCGCTCTTACTCTCCCTCCCTGTTTCTTTCGCTCTCTCACGCTCCCTCCCTCTGTCCCTCTCTCTCTCTCTCTCTCTCTTCCTGGGAATTTTTATCACACTTCCTCTCGCCTGCCCGTCAAGGATCCCTCCCTTCTTATCGAATCATTGCCTTGCGTGCATTTCCCTCTCCGTCGTCCGGGCCTTGCCCCTCCCTCCTCGCTCCCTTCGCCTGCCCCCACGCGCCCGCCCCGAGGAGTTGCTCGGCCGCCGCCACCGCCGCCGCGCCGTTTGTGCCAAGTTGCGGGCCCTGCGAACCGAGCCGACACTCCTCCGGCTTCCAGGGGCAGCTGAAGGAAGCAGCCGGGGAGTCTTTTGAGCAGATACCGGTGATTTATCACAAACTTTGGCCTCCAGGAGGCGCTGGCTGCGGCTGCGGCTGCGAATCTGCGTTGCGTGAAGAGGGCGGCGGCGCTGGCTGCGCTGCGGCTACGCAACAAGAGTTTCCTCTTGCCCTTTGGCAACTCGGCTCGAGGCACTTCGCCCTCTCCACAAGCCCACGTCTTCGTCTCCTCCTTCTTTTTTGGTTTTCCGTTCTTCACCCGGAGACAACAGGCTAACGTAAACGACATGTCTCTATTGGACTTTATTAGAGATGGGAATTATTGAATTGCAAGAACATACGAAAGATTTAATCACAAGCATGATTTTTTTCACTGTTTATCGCACAATCAAAAAAAATACTCAGTTGTTGCTTCCATACTCAACTATTGCGTAGTCGACTGATTATGAACAATACTTATACACCTTATTTCACATGTTTTATAAGCTGCTTTCCACTGAATTACAACATGTAGAGTAGTGTGCGCCCGATGATCAACATTTTGTGGACAGGCAGATAGTTTAAAATCGTTAAAATAAGTACTATTAATGACTGAAATTATAACTCCATGAACAGAAACAATATTTTGCTAAGTACACACTCATGCAGGCACATGTAAAGATCTGTTTCAGAGCGAAATTTAATAACGAGGTTGACAGATCACTTCGAAAATATCCAAACAGATTCAGAGAATCATTTCATGCTTTTCTTCTTGAATCTATTTAGAAGTAATACTCTAAAGCAAGGTTTTAAATAAAGCGGTTATATTTAGAAACAAGTGTGGAACGTAGCAAAAATTATTTGTAAGGTTCATACTGAGACCCAACAAAGTGCATTCCGCAGTGACACAAACTTGCTTGCAACAAAAATTTTGTTGGTAGCAGCGTGCAAGAAAAGAAAACGTAAATACCACACTCAACAAATCATTTCAGATACTGGAAAAGCTGTGCCCTTCTCTTATTTCGCAGCGATCTGTTTGTTACGAACGAAAATGCAATTTCTAATAGGAGGCCCTGACTCGACGCAGTACGTAGAGAATTTCCTGGCGCACTATATTTTCTAAATATGTACCAAAATTTTTGACTAGCTATATAATCATTAAAAATTTCCATGTAACTCCACACTTACAGACACATTTTTTGTAATCTTTTTTTCCTTCTCTATATATGAACAGTCAATTCTTGTACTTTTACCTTGGACTTTCAATACATTATTTTTCCCGTTTATACGTTGGTTACTTTTAGCGAATTACGAATCATTATGACAAGAATTGCAGGTCATTAAAAACAGCGGAAAGAAGAAGCTGCCAGGAATTTCTGGAATCTCATTTCTTTGGCCTCAATAGGATCTGCAACGCAGAATTTTGTTTACGTTCTATCAGCAGACGTACGCCTCATTTCAAAGCTTCGCGTCTTCGGAAATCGAAGCAGCAAAGCCAAGATAACGTTTTAACTAGACGGCCCTTTAATTAAATGTCGCAGCGAGGTGACATTGAGAGATGGGACGTTTTATTGCCAGCAGTATTTCCTTCGGCGACGAACAACTGTCTACTGATCGTCTGAGCGAAACAAAATTAAATCTAAGACGTTTGCAAACGAAAAGCGAGAGATAATGTCTAACACAACGCTTTATTACGTTCCTTTGTTCTATTAAAGTCTGTCCTTGAGAGGAGGTTGACATCGTTGACACACTTTTGCAATTGATTGTGATTTTATATATTTAATATCATTTAATAAACTTGAACTGCACTCATGATGAAAATCAAACTATCAGAAAGAATAAAACATCAGTTATTTGACATTGTTGTAGTTGTATTTAACATGTATCTTTCAGCTAGACAAATTTTCTACCTTACTGTTTTCATAGGAAATCTTGCCTAGTTTCAGTATGAAGGAACAGAGAAAATATATATCTCAATATAGTTAATAATATTTTTTTAAGATACATGTTTTATATATTATTCCTTTTTTATGTTTTTGTTTGTTTAGCTTGTATCTGTTAATGTTCATAGAAAGCAACAATAACATATATGATTCTGCCGTAAAAACAATCAGAATAAATCATATAATATAGCTGAATGCAGAATATTCGATATTTGTATTGAACTACAGAAATCTGTTAGAATTACGTTGGAATTCGATATTGAGGAAAATAATCTTCGATGTCTGGAATGAAATTATCTGAGAAGGTAAAATTGAGGGCGGATTGATTGATATTAGTTGGTAAGGTTCATTTTGGATCGTCCCAAAAATAAATTGCATCAATCCTTACCTTCAATATTCATGATGAAGGTGTCATGTGTCCCTCGATTGCACCCTTCATTGTCCTTCTAGCGAAAGCTATTTCGAGTATAATTGTCACGCATCCATGTTACACGCGCAGCAAACACTAATGTGAAACTCATTTCTCATTCAACTTTTCATTGGTCTTCATGAATTGTTCGAATAATAAGATAAAATATATTTAACTGCAAACTGTGTACTATTCGGTAGCAGTAATTAAAAAAAAAGTAATTGACAAGCGATATAATATTAATGTAATGCAACTGAATTCTTTTCACCTTCTACGTTCTTGTTCATGCAATTTCTTTTTGTGTTCCCATATTATCGATGTGTTTACATTTGATAAACTCCTAATTGGGTGATTGTTTAAGTTCAACTACTCATAGAATGTTGTTAAAAATATGACAATTGTAAAATTTAGTGATATTACTTCTCCTTGTTAACTCATAACTTGTCTGTTCTTAAAACCCGCGTTCCTTCAACACTTAAAAGCTTCGGAACCCATTGTGGGGCACTCACCAAAAATATCATGCACTCTTCCCCCTATATAATGCATTAGATAATCTTTATGGGCCGTTCTACTTAACTTTTGGACCGACGATAAAGAAAAACGGGTCGCGGCCGGTCCTCGCCCATTACACTGGGGCTTCGCTGAGGAACCTTCTCCCTCTCTCTCTCTCAAATTCAGACGGGTGGCGAGGAGGGCGCCGCCCGCGGCCATCGGCGGAATTACACGACGTGCTTCTGGAACTTAACACGTAAAGTGCGAAATAAGTCGGTTTAAATGAAAGTGTCCGCGGTAATTGTTTTTTACGTCACGCGGCCGCGTCGGTTAATCGGGAGATCTCGATGGTTTAAGGGGCGACGAGGCGAAGCTGGCTCCGCAGCGGCAGGGCCAGGAGGGAGCGGAGAGGGGCGGCGGAGAGGAGAGGGGGAGTGGAGGGTTCAGACTTTTGCTAGAACGATAGAGGAAACGGAGGAGGGATCGCTATTGAGAAAGTCCACTGGGCGCTGGTGGGGATGATAGTGTTTTCGATGGCGGGGATCCTGGTGAGGACTATGATGTAAACTCTGGAGGACGCTGGTGCGGTTTTTGGCCGGGATGCTGGTGGGTCGTAGCGACTGATGACAATGATGGCGAGGGCGAAAGGATATATGTTAACGGGGGAGATGGAATGAACGTTGAAGGGGGCGACGGAATGGACGTTGGTGAGGGAGAGCAGATGGGCGTTGGTGGGAGAGAGCAGATGGGCGTTGGTGGGGGAGATAGGATTGGCTTTGACGGAGACGATGGAATAGACGTTAGCGGGGGCAATGGAATGAACGTTGGAGGAGGACATGGAATTGATGTTGGAGGGGACGACGAGATGACCGTTCGCGGGCAATGCCAAGTTTACGGGGTCGATGGGATGGACATTGGCGTGAGCGAAGAGATGGACGTTGGCGAAGGCAATGGGATGGATGTTGGCAGGAGTAATGAGATGGACGTTGGTGGGGAGATTTGAGTCGACGTTTCCGGAAACGCTCGGAAAGACACTAGCAAAGACGCTGGCGTGGACGTGAAGCAACAGCAACGGGGTCGTTGACAGGAAGGTGAACAATGTTTTAATGCAAGTGGTAATGCTGGCGCGGGCACTGTCGGGGCCGCTGGCGGGTATGCTTGGGTAAATGAGAGCGTGCAGGGGAGACGGAGGTCGCAACAGAGAGTACAGCAAGAAGCAGAGTGATGATGATTTTGGAGAGGGAGAAATGTGAAAGTGGGTGTAGGAAGGGGCTTTAGAGAAAATGGTGAAAGAAGAAAGCGGTAAAAGGTTTCACTTAGGGAAGCGGGAGAAGAAAATGGTGTAGATGAGAGCGCGAGGAAGTCATAAAAAGGGACTGGTGAAGTTGTGGTGCGGGGTTGGTAGGGAAAGAAAGGGGCGATGGAGCAGGAGACATAGAGGCAGTGATACTCGTAGCTATTCTGGAAACGGGAAGGAGAAGTGGAGAGATGAAGAACAATAATATTGTAGGAGGATAGCGAAACGGATGGAGAACGGAGGCAGCGTGTAAGGACTGTGCTTCTGAGCACGTCTACTGCTAACTCCATTTTCCATTTGAATGTAATGTTATGAAGGTTTTGACCTGGGGTGACGGTGTTCCTTCTACGCAGTGTGGTAAGATCCAAAGCCGACTTACACGTGTGCTTTGGGCACTCTCCAGTTTTAACCAGGCGGGCCGCCGATTCAGGAAGGACAAGCTCTACGTTGCCAGCTAGTCTCGAGACACGCGTGTTCGTCTATTGCATGTAAGTGAGAGTATGTGTACGTAACAGGTGAGAATAGAACAAAGAAGATGAAGAAATTATCGTGTGCGTTTGTTAGGTATTGCACCAGACATTCGCCTGGTACAGATCCGAGGAGTCACGGAAGACTATCGATCAGGCCGGTACAATTCTCCTTTGAGCTAGTTGTGTAGAGTCGAAAACCGGCATTCAATCCCTAGAACTTCCCGGTCAAAGTCGTCGGGTAGAATGCTGCTGAGCTATAGTGAAGCGGTGTCGGGGGGGGAATGGAGGAGGGAACGGAGCGGCACTTGAGTGGGAACGATGCGATGGCGGAGTGGCAGCGGGGTCGGGCGAAGCGAAGCGGGGCGGAGCGGGGTGCGGAGCGGGGGGGGTGGGGCGGAGAAGGTCGGAGTGGAATAGAGCTGGGGCGGGGCGTGGCGGGGGCGGAGCGCGGGCAGAGCGCAGGCGATGCAGGGCGTCGGGGGCGACCAGAGGGGGCCGGCTCGCCCTAAAGGAGACGTGCGATCCGAGTGACCTCTGAGAGGGAAAATAAGGTGGCTGCAAACTGCCGCAGCAGTATTTTTTGTTTGGGGGCGAATTATCCGTCGCCTCTGATAAGACGCGCCGCTGGGAATCGCGCCCTGGGGGCCACGTCCTATCCGTTATCGGGTAGCCGACTGCCCTAAGTGTTTTTGCAACCTCCGCGGAGCGGGGCTTAGACGGGCGGAGGGTTTCGCGTCTCGTGTATTGCTCTTCCGAGAGAGCGAGAATTCTGTACCTCTGAAACTCTGATATCAAATAACACTCTAGTTATGGTGTAATTAGAAACTTGAAATAGTTTCCAAATGTTCGGCCTCACCTCCGTTTCAATTGCAGTTATTCAGCTATCAATTACATAGAAATACAAGCACTATTAAAAGTATCCAACTAACATATTATTTTTTTCTCTCATTATAACGTCCAACGGTTTTAAATATTACTACTTAATGTAACGATTCATATTTTTTGCATCTCAAGAGATTTAAATGAGAGGATAAGCTTCCCAATTAAAAGATATCAGTTTCTATATTACTTTCTAGGTTATTAATTATGATTATGCAAGTATTACTTACAATTGAGTACATGTTACATTAAAATTAAAAATCATAAATTAGTCAAATCCTTTAGAACGTTTTTGAAGATTGAACTCGTTAACAAAAAATATCAGAGAAAATCATCGTCTTCATAGTTATAGTAGATTGAAAAAGTGTTGCAGGAAACGAATGTTACTGTAACCGTAAAAAAATAATTACGACTGACTTAAATTCCTTTGAATGTTATTTGAACTTTGATATTGCTAATAATAAAATATTCATACGAGTAAATCATCGCATTTACAATTTATAGGAAATATTAAATGTTAAATTAATATGAATGTTTCTCTTCTAAGTAATGTCTTTCTTTTATAGTACTGAAGTTCTTGTTAGTAATAACGTACCAGAAAGGAATGCACAAATTCTGAATGTCTAGAACATGATTATTCATACTCATATAGAACTCTAATTTTCAACTTGTTCAAGTGTGATGTATCTCAAATTTGACTCTACGAAAGAACACACTCTAGACCAGGTTGGTCGAAAAATGTGGTCCGCTCGGGGTAGCCTCTAGGAACAAAGATTGACACCTAGTCCACGCTCTAGTGTAACGTAATGCTCTTATGGGGAGTTTCGATTGTTTGGGCTGCAGAAGACAGAAATGGGGTCAGAGGAAGGGAATAAAATGTCTTTCATTATGCTTCCGACATTTTCTGGAACACGTTGCTCTGAATACAGCGTGTTCAGTAAGACAGTAAAATATCTATCAGTAAATTTTGCCTTACATTACTTATATCGTTGGCTTTTTCTTTAGTTATCAACTTATTTAATTTAATATTGTTAAATACAATATATATATATACACACACATTGATTTAGAAAATAATTGTAATAATTTAGAAGGTAAAATCTTAAAACTAATAATGCAGCCTTGTAGTAATCATTTTCGAATTTTAAGAAGTAACACGCAAACTGGGATATCCACAATTTTTGTAACCATTGTATTCGCTGACCTACCGTTTGATAACTTCGGAAACATCGAAGTTAGAGTGTTTAGTCATCAGAGTTACAAACACTTCGTTAAGGTAGAGTTTTAGCTGCGAGAGGAAACTCGGAGTCCAACATCAAAAGTATGCTCGTTTCTTCTCAACCTTTAACTGTTACGTCCGTCATAGGATTTTGGAGAAAGACTAGCAATTGCTCGTAAATTAGCAGTAATTGCAAAATGTTAGATGCATCACAATTTTAATGCGACAGTCATAACTATCGTATGTGTCTCCTCGTGAACTCCAAACAACTACTTTAATATTAATATCGTTATCTCTAGTGGTTGCAGAAACAACTAATTGAATTAATGTTAATATTTATTTTCCTTTTCGTCGATTATCCCACCATCAGACATTTCTTTTCTCGGGTGATTTCTTGCCCTTGCTTACTGGATATCGGTCTTTTGTCGGATGTTTTCTCGGTCGATGGAACTTAAGCTACATGAGGTTGAGGGCACCTTTCTTAAGAGAGACTAGAGAGAAAACGAGGGCTGAAAGGGAAGGAATATTTCGTGCGGTCAGACTGTTGTAGATACCGTTGCTAAGGCACCCGCCTGGTATTAATCAGAGGAAACTACGCAAGCGAATCAGAGCAGCTGGTCTCTATCAGTCATATCCAGGTAGTATACAACTTGAACTTTAATGTTTAGGTGGTGTCAAAAATTCTGGCACCTACGGTACTCAAACATACGACTTCCCTCGTCCATGAATCATCTTTTACCAGGTCCCATTCAATAGCAACCTAAATATATTCAGTAACATTTTGTATTTCTGAAAGTAATTTTCTTAATCCGTTTCTGCCAAGAGTTCATTTAGGAAGCAATGTCTCATAAAGCCCAGTTTTAAATGTTTGAAAGTGAAATAGTGTATTTTATCCCTTAATACACTTTTCCCCGCGTAAATCTCCGTTTAACTTCAGAAGTAATCGTAAACCTGGCAACAACTTGGGGAGATAAATCGTTATCTATTTCTATACTCTACTTACTCAAATTGAACAAAACGTTGAAAACAATCTAAGATTAAATCTAAGATTAATTTTAATATGGAACAGATTACAAATATTAAAAGTAATTTTTCCTGTAATGTGAAAATTGCCTCAATTACGAATACCAGACCAGGAAATGTGGTCAAATAGGTATAATCTCATATGTTTCAAATCACTTTAGCAAACATACTTTGCCGATATATAATAACTTTTATTGTACCTCAAAAGTAACAAATGTGTAAATTGTGTGTATACAAATTCTAACGATGGTTGTGACACAGCTATTACACCTCAGTCCTCTTAGAAGTGAACTCCGTGTTCGCTTGCCTTAATGAGAGGATGTTAGAACGTGCTATCTCAATGAATGTTACATATTTCACTCTAAAACAGCCGTGTTTGCGCCGTTCTCTTGCACTCTCGTCAGAAGTGCGTTGAGCTTGTTCTAATGCTCCTTTTGTCTCGTGAGCGCGCCCCCTGTCGGATAAGGTTGGTATCTCCCTCAGAGCACACGCAGTGGCGGCGAAGGCGGCGTGTGCGTGCGTGCACGTGTGTATGTATTTATGTGTGTTTGTGCGTCTGTCTTTTTGCCAGCCGCCGTGAGATTTAATTGTTGCGAAGGAAGCGAGAGCAAGATTTCAGAGAGCGCTGGGATTAGAGAGAAAAGTGCGCAAGTCACAAGACGCTTCTCAGAGGCAAAATATGAAGTTACCGTGGAGGGGAGAGGCGGGCTTGTTTGCTATGAAAAAAGTTTCATTATACGCTATGTTAAAAATGAAACAGCACTTTGCTCGACGAGGTTTCGTATATTCTTACATGTGACAGGAAAGTGAATAATATTCTTTACTGGAATATTGCCCGCTCATATTGTGAGGTTTCACAATAAAGAATATGCAAAGAAACTACGTTCTTATATGAAATATATCCTCAGAAGAACCTTTTTCTTGTGTAGTTTTAAAGAGATAACGATGAAATCCTTTCTTCTAGCGTTTGGTTTAGAGAAAATATTTGTTAAAATGCCAAACCATCAATTGCGCGATAACGAGATATTTGAAGTACTGCTCTGACCATTTTGAGAATGATGTAAGGTCGTGAAATGCACGATAACGAAAATTTCAAAAATGCATTCCAAAATACTGAAGCTAACGCATTGGAAATTTTTATATTTTGCAGCCGCTGGAGAGTGAATAATCTTTTATCTTGAAATTTTAATCCGTGTTATATTAGCGTTTCATATCAAATATAAGGTATCTAATAAAGTAAATTAAATGTTCTCGCATGTGAGCAAAAATTTGGAACTTGTAATTGGTGTAACAACGTTAATAATACTCCACTACAGTTCAATATAAGTATATTCTTTTCTTACAGTGTGAATGAATCCTAATATCAGAGACACATTTTTGTTATCAGAAATTTCTTACTCTGGGCGTTTTGTGGTGGGTATTATTCATTGGATATTTCAGGAGATGAACCTATAACTGGACATTTTGAAGTAGACATTTTGTCCTGCAACCTCGTTCATTCATTCTCATGTTTATGTTCAATCATTTTAGGTCGTCAGGATAAAATATGTAAGTAGTAATAGTAACGTTGGTGTGTGTTGCGGTGTGTTGCAGGCACGTGGGGTCGGCGGTGGTCGCCTGCAACTGCACCCCTGGCTTCACCGGCCGCCGCTGCGACGTTCCGGTGCCCGAGGCGGAGATTAACGGTGAGTCTCACCCGCACCTCCCCCGCACCTCCCCCACACCACCTCCGCACCTCCCTTGCACCT